AGAACCTGGAGAGAACCCACACTGCACGGGGAGAACATGGACACAGAAAGATCCCGGGTGTCCTCACCAGGATGCGAACTGGCGACAGTGCTACCAACTGCGTCACCTTGCAGCTCTTTTCAACCAATTTAGTTGAAATTAGAATAATTATAATGCAGCTGTTAAATGTTCTGCAGCTTGTATTGAGTCTTGGAAGAAATATAGTGAAATAGCTGGGCCGGTTTTTGTCTCACGTTTCCACATCAATCTTTGACATTTATATACATAAATACTCAGCATACAGCATATTGCGGGCTGCTTTTGTGTCACAGCTAGAACACACTTCATACTTTAGAAAATCAGTTTGCTGTAACTCGGCGACTTCTTCTTTTGTGCTCCGTATTTGCCTACAAAGTCCCACCTGACGACTAAGTTTCAGTTAAAACAAAACACAGCGACAGGTGGTAGTAGTTCTTATCTCGGTGGCATTAACGCTGCAATGATTCACACAAGCGGCGCTGCGTCACGTCACCGCGCTGTGTGTAGGCGTGAGGTTGTGTTTGTGGTTCACATCCGTACGTGTGTGAATGTCTCACGTCTGCTGCCGGAGACGTCCGAGTCCAGCATTCATCGTCCACAAGGAAACCGTAGAACACAGTCAATATGTTTTCATCCCCAGAAACACACACTTGACCTGCACAGGCCGCCAAAATGCAGCATAAATACTTTATGTCGTTTAGTGAAACCGCTCTTGATGCACAAATGTAGAAACTGTTTGCTGCAGTGATTTTGTGGTGCGAGAAGCAGGAACCAGCAACAAATACAAAAGTTAAGACATCGTGTAAATCGGCTTTTATTCAGTTTAAAAGATGGCAGATGGTGGCAGATCTTTTAAAGATTTAAGAACATTATTTAAATGTTCAAGAAGTCACTCATTGGGTCAATTATAAGTCATTTTTAATACATTTAAATTGTTTTGGAGCCACTTGTGTCCACTGAGGGAGAATTTAGTGGTAGTAAAGGAGCCAAAGTGATCAGTTCGGAGGTGACGGCAGCTTTATAATTGATTATCTGCTATTTTTTATTGTTTTTTCAGGTGAAATGGTAGTGTGTTACAGCTTGAATGCAGTTAGTATCGGTAGGTTGATTCATCAGTTCAAATGACTGAATGATCAGTCGTGATATTGGCATACAGATGAATATTAGAGTGAATCTTCTGTCTGGATACAAATGAACAGCACAGGTCTCCTCCAAAAAAATGGAAAAGTCTGTCATTGGAGCACTTAAAACATGATCAGTGGATCCACCTGCTAGTAGATAACAATCAGTGGATGAAATGTCCATTCTGCTGCCAACACAACACTGATTTGTCAACAGCCAACACAACTTTAAAATGTAATCAATTAATGTGATAAGTCAAACTGAAAGTCAGCCAAGTGACGTGACGTGAAGCCCGCCAGAGACTCGACAGATAAACGCACAGATAAAAGAACGAGGCCAAGCAGAACACGGCAGAGGATCAGGATTTGCCGTGACGCCTGCCTGTCTTGGCCTCATCCACGTCATCTCCAAGAAACTTGACTTGTAAACCAGGTACATTCAAATGCGGGCGATTTGTCTAAGCCTTGTTTGCTAAGATGTAAAGACTTGAGTCTCCATGACGCCATGCAAAGCGGCCAGGAAACCAGAAGACTGGCGGCGGCGGCACAAAGACGGGTCACAGCCGAGAGGGAGGAGGGCAGATGTGAGAGTGGACTGGGAGGCTCTCTGTGGTGTTTCCATGACTTCAGAGGACACTGCATTGACTGACGTTCACTTCCTGGAGTCGTCAACCTTCACTTTAAACCTTAGAACACATCTTCAACCTGATAGTGAACTGTTACAGTTTTTACTGTCCCTGTAACACACACACACACACACACACACACACACACACACACACACACGTAGACACACAGAGTCTGTCATGTTCTGCTCCTATTTTCACATTCAGACCACATGATGCTGAATCTATTTGTTTAACAAATGTGTTTGTTAACAGGCCAGAATATTGTAATAGTGTGTGTGTGTGTGTGTGTGTGTGGAGACATCTGTAGGATTTTGTGACTCTCAGAGAATAATAATATAATTATAACTTTATTTGATTAGCTTGATTAGCTCTACTTTGGCAGGTAGAGCATATAATATATATATATAATACAGGTCAGATGTGAGGCAGGACAGGACAAACACAGGTCAAAACTAAATAATAAATAAATGCAAACACATGTAAGTACACGCCATAAAAAATGAAAATGTACAGAAAGGATAGCTAGTTAAAAACTAGTTAAAAGGACGACGTCACACAAGAGGGTTACGAGAGAAGCTGAAGAGAAAATTAAAGATAGAAAATCGATTCAGATCAGGAGGTTAGAAAGCAGTAAAAGTTTGAAAACAGATAAAAGAGCAGAGAGTGATAAAAAGAGAAATAAAAGAGAACTTTACTGGAAGGCGAGTCTATAAAAGAGGGTTTTAAGAAGTGATTTTAAAAAAGTTAGTGATTCAGCCTTATCTCCTCAGGCCTCCCTGACAGAGAAGGTCACCCTCGGATTTAAGCTTCAACTTCGGTGGGACCCACCAGAGCATCTAAGTATGGGGTTAACATGCCTAACATATAGCCAGGGGGCAAGGCCTTGGCGAGCGTTAAAAGTCATCAGTAAACTCTTAAAATCAATTGAGGGAGCCAGCGAAGAGCAGCCAGAACAGGGGAAGTGTGATGTCGTCTGTTGAAACCAGCAGGAAGCTGAGCTGCTGCGTTCAGGAGAATCTGGAGGCAGGAGAGGGATTTCCATGGAATGTCGGATGAGAGGGAGTTACGGTAATCGAGACGGGAAAAAAATGAGGGCGTGGATGATTTTTTTTTTCAAGGTCTGACTGCGGGAGGATTGATTTGATTTTAGAAATGTGATTTTAGAGAAAGGATTAGTGGTCAGACATGAGATGTGGGAGATAGGGAATTTGGAGCTGAGTTAGTGGACACATATTTTAGATCAGAGCGTCTGTTTGACTGTTTGACACACATCATAATTGTCTTCCTCACACGCTGATCTGTTCTCGTCTGTCGGGATAATATACTAAACATGTGTGCTATTGGTTGATAAAATGCTTTTGCAAAACATAACCGAGCTTGAAATGAAAGCGAGGGGCACAGATTATACCTGCTGCTGTGTTTTTCCACAAGAAGGCAGCATCATGCATTGATAGAACATTGACCTAAAGCCACGTAAAGCTCCGAGTGAGTCGTGAGCGGTGGTGCCACTCCCAGCTCACTGAACATAAAACACTATCTTGTGTCCACACATTCATACAAGTTCTCTTGCTGTCTGTGTCACTGGCACTTCCTGTCCTATCCTATCACTTCCTTTCACAGCTAATTGATTCCCATGCTCTTATCGTCGCATGGAAAGCATCGTCTGGGGATTTAGGCAAAAAAAAAAAAGGGCAGCTCAGAGGACGTCCGTCATTCACTTCCTGTCACCCTCATATTGACGGGTGTCCTTTTGGCAGTCAAATATACATTCAAATTGCTCAGTTTGCCTGTGTGTCCCTGCATGGACGAGTCGGCGATCAACAGTTGTCATGGCACTTGTTTGCTTATTTTACTCATTCGATGGTGACAAGATGTGCAGACGGATGAGTCTTAATGTAGCTGCTGTGGAGCTGTCGGTTCACTAGACAGAGCAGATGTAGATGGTGATGATCGGCTGCTATGTTTTCTATCTATCTATCTATCTATCTATCTATCTATCTATCTATCTATCTATCTATCTATCTATCTATCTATCTATCTAGAACTGTAATCAAGTACAGTTTTGACATCTGTCCCCTGAGATGCTACATCTGATGGACTTCTCTACATTTTATTTCACTATTTAGATGTCAGTTTAACAATACAACACACTGTAGTTCTCAAAAGTGTAAAAATGACCTCAGCCAGCACTGATTTGAGGCCACTTTTCTGGATTATGGTGGCGTTTAATACAAGCATCCCTCAGCGGTGGACACACTTTTATCACTCTGTGTTTATGAGTGGCGAGGATGCGTGCTAAGGCTCGGTGGTCTCTGTAATGTATGATAGACGCTGGGTTTTTATTTATCTGTATGGCCCCTACTGTTCTTTTACCCTCACTGTGCTCATACAACCTGAATAACATGCACATAAAGCTGGACTTATTTCTATCCTTTGGGCAAGTCAGGCTTTTAATTTCTCCCTCTGTAATCCCAGCTGGTCCTATTTTAGTCGAATCATTTGTTTTAAACTCAAATGAATGTTTCCCTTATTGTGCTAACTTTAATGTTTTACTGTTATCCAAGTTCCTAAATCTTTTATTTACCTACTCGGTTACACTGTAAATGAGGCCTTCATGCATCAGTGAACTCTGAGTTTAAATAAAGGTTGAATCAGGGGCGGTTTGTCCATAAGGGCGACGCGCCACCAAAGGAAAAGAAAAAAAAAGAAAAACAAAAAACTATCCACTGTCAGCTTTCTGAACACTTTAAACTGCCTGTATGTCATTGTCCAATCAGCGTGAGGCCCTGCTGCTTGGAGTCCCGCCCCTTTTTGGGGCGATTTTCAGTCTGACTGAAATCGCCCCAACCATTCTCCTTAACTGTCATGTAAAAGTTTATTTTTTCACATAGCAGACACTATAATGCGTTGTCTATGGGTTCCAGGAGGGCTTGCACTTGCATGCTTTCGTCATGCGTATCACGTAAGCTGCGTAGACGGAGCTAGCTGCACAGCCTATTGAATCCATCATTCACTGAAGAGCCAAAACAATTTCATTCATGAAGACGTCATGGGCTGGCTCTAGCACATGCTATTTAGTTTAAAGAGGTAAAGGGAAAATTTGACCGCCAGTTGAACAGGTAACTTTTGTCATAATAATTGCCCCCCCTGAGAAATTTCTCAGGAGCCGCCACTGGGTTGAATGAATGAATGATGCTCACACGTTAACGTTTCAGTGTTATGAGCCCGATCAGGTCATCTGCCCCAATAACAGGTGCTGCTGATGACAGTGTGTTCAATCTGGTGTCGCAATCAAGTTAAAACAGCTACAGTTGACAAATTTCCCTTCTTGTCTAGTTGTCAGTGTGATCCTCTGTCAGAAAAACAACTTGAGAACTAGAATAGTCAGCACCAACCGGTTCTGTGTGTTTTCTTTTCTGCTGTGGCTGTCAGGGAGTGTTCAGGTGCAGCACAGGAGGACTCACACAGAGCAAAAAAGAAATTCACACTTTTAAATACTTCTCCTTGATACAGGGAAGTACGGACAGGGACAATTACAGGCATATCAACCAGGAGCATATTTGGGGGAAAAACGGGAGAAAAAAAAAGGGAGCGTTGGAACAAATGGTCTGATGTCATAATTGGTATAACTAGATGAAGGATTAGTTGGAGAACCAGTTCTCGGTCTATCACGGCAACATTTTGGAAACCCCTCCGGCGCATGCATGTTAGGTGGGCCACAAATGACAGATTTCATCCAAACATCACGAGGGGAAGACTTGTACGTCTTCCAGACTGACTCACATGGTCAGTGGACAAAGCTTGCTTCAGAAAATCTCCCCTTTTAAAACAAAACATTGCATCACTTTCCCAAAGTGAGCAGCAAATAACCGTCTTCTTACATCGTAAGTGTCCAGCAAGAAGAACATATGACCTGTTTTCTGTTTCTGTTTTATTGTCTTACTCAACCAGTGGGTGCATATTTTACTCGTTGAAACCCTTGTAGTCTATCAGATAGGAGGACAGTCGATAATCTGACCCTTAACAATCTAAAAACCTTGCTATCCAACAGGTTGTTAGGAAAAACGAACGGAACTCATTAAAAATAGCCTTAACATACCGACAGCCTTGGATTCTGACTCCGACTTGACATTTTATGTCAAAAATAAGGATAACGGATTATCTGACTGAACAATCCAACAGATTAGCTACGTTCACACTGCAGGACTTAATGCTCAATTCAGATTTTTTTTTTTGTGAAATCTGATTTTTTGCGAGTTTGTTCACATTTCCAATTAAATGCGACTTGTATGTGATCTGCTGTGTGAACTTCATACGACCCAAAAGCGTCCCGTATGCGCAGAAGAGGACACAAAGATGTCACACGCAGCGAGCGTGCTCAGTATGAAGTAAACATGGATGGTAACGGTGGAGCGTATCTCCCACTTCCCTGCTGGCGATGGTGGAAACAGAAACAGGAAACAAACAGAAGTGTGACCGATAGCTAAACTGGCATCAGCAGCCAAGTACTGCCTGTGTGTTCCGGCCACTTCCAGCCCGTCGGAGTGCTCCTCCTGGGTGGAAGTGGTCCCCCCAACCACGCTGAATATTCTGATATTCATCATTAATTGGGCCCAAATATCCAGAGACCAGAAAGTGCTATTGGGACCAGCCCTAGTTTGTCGTGTATCAATGACGTGTAGGTCGGATAAGTGCGACCTGGCCGTTCAGAGAGAAATTTCATGGCAAAAGATCAGATACCTATTGGATTTAGGACCACTTAACTTTGATGTCAACTGACGGGACCATGCACAAATCAGTATGCAATACACTAATTATTATAACAACTAAAAACAATAACAATATTAACAACAAATGACCCTTCCAGCATCGAGCCCTCCTTGTATCTCGACCTCCGTCTTGACAATCCGACAGCCTTGCTATCTGACATAAAAGAAGGTTTTACATTTAGTGTCGGATTATCGAGTCACGACTGTATTTAAAACCTAGACCTTAGTTTTATCTTCTTTTTTTGGTCTATGTTCAAGTTTAACCATTAAAAATGACATCAATCAATGCCATGTCACCGATCAGCACCCCACACATCCTGAACACGTTTCCCTCACTTCATATTTGTAGCATGTTGAAAGCTAATTATAATAAACAACAGATATTGTTGGACTGTGACTAACAGGCACTGGAGAGAGCGGAAAGAGCACCTTTATCAAACAAATGAGGATTATCCACGGAGGAGGATACACGGATGAGGACAAGCGCAGCTACGCCAAACTGGTCTTCCAGAACATCTACACGTCCATGCAGACCATGATCCGAGCCATGGAGGCCCTCAGCATATCTTTCGCTGATCCCCAGAACCAGGTGCAGACAAACCAAAGTCCAGGTTTACTCTGGTTCATGTTTGATGACTTTTCTAAGCTTTAATTTAGCATGTACGGTATCACACACTTGGCTGCTTCATTTTTTAAATGTGAACACAGTGTGAAGTATAAAGCTGCCAGGAATTCTATTAAATAGCATTTCTAGTGGTCTGATTTGGACCAACGGGGATGTAAAATGTGTAAGTTAAAGGTCTGAAACATATCAAACAGAAAATGTGTTCTGTTCTTTTCTCCTCTTGATCACTTAAACTACGAGCTGATTGTCTTCCTGTGTGTCTGCAGAGCCACGCCAGCGCTGTCCTGGAGGTGGAAGTGGATAAAGTGGACGAGCTAGACCAAAGCCTGGCGGCGGGGATCGGCAGCCTGTGGAACGACGCAGGAATACAGGAGTGCTACGAACGACGCAGGGAGTACCAGCTGTCTGACTCCACCAAATAGTGAGAATCAGATGTGTTCTGTCCTCTCCACAAATCTATGAAGAGGGTTGTACTTCTGCATTTAGTCACTGTCGGTGCTCGAACTGTTGGTTCACTCCACATGTTCTGCATCGTCTTGCTCACATGTTCTCTGATATCGTTAAGTAGCGGCTGATGGTGAAACAGAGATTAGCAACAATAGAGATATTTTAGAAGCTGATGATGATCAATACAAAAAGGAGAAACTTTTTTCAGCTTGCTGGTTTTCCTGTTTATATTCTGGGAAATGCAAATTCTGTATAAATTCAGAGATACTTAATTTATTCTTGTCTACAGAGGTAAAGTTCTAACTCTTAGGTTTGTTTTTTTTACTTCACTTGATTTCACAAATTAGTTTCAGTTCTCGTTGAACTCACAACTTACTACATGTATTTGGTTTAAT